TGTTTGTAAAGAATAACTACACCAAATCCATATAAACACCATAGGGAATAACTGCTTCGTATTTGCATTGTAGACACTCCAAATACTTTGAAAATTGTATATGTCCATTACCTCCTATTTTTAAAGCAAAGTAATAAAATTGTTTTCAGCATAGCTAGCTTTAAAATTGATATCCCAAAGTACATTTATTTTCAGATAGTTGATAAAAATATGCTTAAATAAAAACAATCTGGCCAGGAATATTCAAAGTGCCTATTGTTTACCTAGTTTTTGAAACAGATGAAAATAGAATCAGGTTTTTGAAAATACACCTATTAAAAAGCAGATTTTTTTTTAAATCTTAAAGTATATTTTCAAAGAGAATAAAAGAGCTTAGAGATTGCTTACCCCTATTTTTGGCATGATACATTTACAGTCCAATGCAAAGCAAACGTGATAGTTACCTCAGATAACAAAAATAATTGCCAAAAGCAGAAATTACTGTTGATGCTCCCCTTTCATTTAAAAGAGCTGTTTCTCTTATAAAGCTATTAGCACCACTTTAATTTATGCAGTTAATTTTTCCATCCAGTTCAGAGGCCAATCCTAAGAGGGAAAAAAATGGCCCCAGCTCTATCCATTATGTAAGTCAGGCAGATTTAAGAAGACTTTATTGAGAAAGTAATGCAAATGCTTAGGATTAAACATGTGGTTATGTGCTTTTTTGAATTAGAATCTGTGTCAGAATGCTTATTTAGCTACAGTTCTGATATTAAGAAAATCTTCTTGTGTTGGCTGACCTGATACAGAAAGTAGCATTTTTTTTGAATCTTCATTTTATTTTATACATTTATGGTGAGATACATTGAGTATAGAAATATTTGTATGAGAGACATAGATTAGCTAATAAACATTTTGTGTCTTATTTCCAAAATTATTTTTTTATGCCTACTGTAATATGACTATGACTAAGACCAAGAGAAAACTTCTAGATACAGTGATGTAAAAACTCCAAACCACTAATACTTGTGAACAGATGTGCACAGATGAGTTCTCATAAGATATATTTGAAGCTAATAAATGCTGGTATAAATTGAGTTCTTGGCACATACACTACCCCATGCTATTGTTACTGTGTGTCACTACAGCATGAAAGTAGAAAATATTTAGATAATTCAACTATTAAAACTGTTCCAACTATTAAAGATGTTGAAACCTCCAGCCATAGCTGGCTCATGGGCTGATAAATGCACTGTTTGGACAAAAATATGCAAGACCAAGGAGCTAATATTCCTTTAAATCTCTGTTCTCCAGGATGACCACTTGCACCTGACAAATTGCAAATGTTCTCCACTGGTATCTTCAGTTTAAATCCCTGGAATATAAATGCCCACCAGGACACTGTAGCATAAAGACACAATCCGGTTTTAAACGAAGTATTTTGGGTATTGGCAACAGTCAAGCTGTGATAGCAGAAAGCTTACTCTGTGCAAGAAGTTTATTCTGCTGCATGGGCATGTTTAGCAGCCTGTTCTACACTTTGTGCTATTGTGAGGTGGCTGCTATGCAGTATTTCCCATAATACCTGGCATGCAAAATGTATCCAATAGAGCAAACACACTTGACAAAAACCACTTAACTGGGCTAGAACTACACTGAACAAGAATAAATATAATACAATTAAACATGTAATTAAAGGTATATTATACACTAAAAAACTATAAATGCATGGTTTATTGTAATAATTTCTGCCTATTTCATTATACCACTTCCCCCTTTCTCAGAACTTTTCTGTGTAAAATGTGGCTGGTCTTGACATGCGTGCTCTCTAGAAAGAAAACATTCACATGAAGGAAATGAGGCATTTCAAAAGGAACACTACTTGTTGTGGGTCGTGTGAGCAAACGAAAAGTAAATCTCCAAACCTACCGATACTGCAAGACTCTCAGATGAAATTAACAACTTCAAGACTGCTGCTGCTAAAAGGACACAATGAAAAACCAGCAAATGTCTCTCTTTGCTGTTAATGCCAGTGACAACAAGATCCTGGATCCCCTAGGCCCGTGGTAGCTTGCCACTGCATTGCAGGGAGACAGCTGATGTGTCAGAACGCATTAACTTTCTTGGTAGGTGGGCAAGGAACGACTGTACAAAGAGGTATTAGGTGATTAAGCAGTATGAAGGCATGATATAGAGACATTTGGAAAATGTTCATGTAACAACAACAGGGACACAATTTTTAATACAAAAAAAATAAGAAATAAAGGATAGGTTAAAACTCCTATATTCACAAATTAGGGATTGTAAGCAATGATTAGAATTAGCAGTGGAAATAGAAAAGTACAAAAATAATTGCCTTGTTAACCACAACAAATTGAAATTAATGTAATGTTTATTCTCCTGTAATCTTTCCAAATGTCTACCAATTCATAAATGCAGCCATTTAGGCTACACAAAGTAGGTGATTTACCTTCTGTGCAATAGAGACTCACACTGCTATCCATTATGAGTATTAAAGTCACTTATTTACAAGAACAACAGTAGAGAATAATGAGGAAGATAAGTACCAACAGACACAGGAACAGAAATTAAAAACAAATGAAATTAAGAAATATCCTTAAAACCACTGTAGGATACCTTGATGCCTTACTTTATGACATCATGTTTTGTATAACATGATTTTGTAACTTTGCCCAGAACACTGCACACAAGAAGACCAGAGAGAGGGAATACAGAAGGGGATGGAGGCTGCATGATTCTTCTCATAAATATTTTGGGTTTTAGAAGAACTTGCATACGTTACACAAGTTCTTTCTACTCCGTGCAATGACAGTAGTCTGACCAGACTAAAAATGCTTGGAATCTACAGAAGTAGTAATTTTTTTGAAGGTTGATAAATGTTAAATTTGAGAAAAGATCTGAAAGCTTTTTCTTTCAGCTCCTAAAAATGTCTGTAAGCTATTAAAATTTTTATTTATTTGCAAATAAAAAGTACAGTGTGTATAATTTTTAGAGAATAAGTATTTTCTTAGATCATTGTATGATAAAGTATGATAATTCCTATACTTCTAAAGGCTCAATAGAATGCAGAAGTACTATAAGACTTTATATATGTCAAAATAATTTTTATAAGCTTTATCTTTTTGGGGAAAATGTTATGTTAGACAACTTCAGTAGTGTATTGTCAGCATCAGTTATGTAATTGTTATACATTATGGACATTTTTATGTCTATGACAGTATATAGATTGTCATATTCAATGTTTCTTTTAGATTGGAAGATACTAAAACAAGAGAGTCTGCTAACAAGAAATAAAAGCAATGTCAAGCACTTCTAAACTTCTTCAAAATTACAGAAAATGTCAAAAGAATGGTGAAAACAATATTCAAATGACAACTGTAGAAACATGCAAATTACAATCATGTCAGGTTGTTCCAGGTAAGCTCTCAAAGTCATAGTAAGTTAATGTTTCTTTTTATTTCATTCAAAACAAACAAGCAAACAGACAAATGGAAAAAAAAATCCACAACAAAACCAAAACCAACCAAACAAAATGCATACCAAAATTTCAAAGTAAAAACCCATTTTCATTACTTCTTTGTGTTAATGAACTATGCTACTGAGACAAACATCTTCTTTAAAGAAGCAACCACTTTTCCAAATATAGAGAATCAAACACCAGACAAATAAACAAATCAAATCACTCCTCTGTGCACATCCCTCTGGCCAGCTGGATTGTATGCCACATTTGGAACCAAATCAAACCTTTCACTCTCAAATATGGTGCAGAGAAAGCCAAGGGCCAGATTTCAGTTCCAGTCTTTAGCTATTTTGTTTCAGAACAAGATCAGAAGTCAGCATTGATAAATACTGTTTTGTCCATGGACATTGCACTCTTGCTCCACTAAATCTCTTTTCAAACTGTTAGGTCTTTCTGCAGCATTTTAGAGATATTCATTCATGCCTTTGCCTTGCCTGTTAAACTGCATCTCTGTTAGTTGATGCCCGACTCATAAACTTACCCTGCACAAGGATCAGTTTTATTTCACTTCAACTCCCTACATAATTTTATGTAAAGGAGGACCTAAGTGCTGGCAGCAGACAATGTGGTGTTCAGCTCTAGCTGTCCTACATCTTACTATGACCTCCAGCCTGGCTAGGAAGGAATGAGCTGGTCAAAACCAGTCAAAGTCCAGTCCTATCTGGAAATAGCAGAGAAAATTATTTCTCATTAACAGTCCTGCAGCAGTGTTCTGAAAGTGAACATTGGTTTGTATGCAGTGTATGGCTATTGATGGGTTAAACTCGAGCCAAAAATATCAGTTTAAATACTAGTCAATAATGTCTTTATACCTAGGAAATTCCTTCCAGTTCTACCAGAATTACTTCCTGTGACTGAACTACAACCAAAAACACAGTTGAATGTAGAACCATTGATGACTAGGAACTCCAACTTAGCCAGCTGTTGTATTTCCTGAGTGTCTCAGGTACCACAAACAGAGGGACCTTCCACTGGTTTCAGGTAGAATTTTTGATTTTATTCAATGACTCTTTCCTATATTTTTAGGTGATCCCAGATACTGAGGAGACTGCTGAAACCTGTGGAATGATGTATGTGTTCTTTTACACAGGAGAACTTTATATGATAAGCATACGTAAGTGGAAGATGTAGACTACAGACAGGTACAGAGTTTGAAATACATTTCTTTATCAATAAGGACCATAAAAATTTGTTTCCTGTGAAAACTATATTTTTCTGAATCTTCAATTTTTCTATGCCTGTAGCTATATTACACCACTTCTCCTCCCCCTTTCACTTCCCCAGTTCTTTACTCTGTAAAGTATGCTGTTTTGATGAAATGTTTCCACCAGCTATCTGGGAAGGGGAGGGGGAAGGGGAGGGGGAGGGGGAGGCAAGGCAAGGCAAGGCAAGGCAAGGCAAGG